TTGTTAGAGAGAGGAGGAGGCAGCTGTCTTTACCAGTCGCTTATGATGGAAAAACCAAATCAGTTTATATGTGTATCTCACGCTGTGTAGTGTGTATTTTGACTTGACTTGACCTGGCCTAGAATATCTGACGGGTCTTTAAAATACACTTAGCCTCTGTTAGGGACCACTTCTATTAGGGATTACTTCTATTAGGGACTAGGGACCACCTCTGTTAGGGACCATCTCTATTAGTGACCACTTCTATTAGGGACTAGGGACCACCTCTGTTAGGGACCACTTCTATTAGGGACTACTTCTTTTAGGGACTAGGGACCACATCTGTTAGGGACCACCTCTATTATTGACCACTTCTATTAGGGACCACCTCTGTTAGGGACCACTTCTATTAAGGACTACTTCTATTAGGGACTAGGGACCACATCTGTTAGGGATCACCTCTATTAGGGACCACTTCTATTAGGGACCACTTCTATTAGGAACTAGGGACCACTTCTATTAGGGACTAGGGACCACCTCTGTTAGGGATCACCTCTATTAGGGACCACTTCTATTAGGGACCACTTTATAGGAACTAGGGACCACCTCTATTAGGGACCACTTCTATTAGGGACTAGGGACCACCTCTGTTAGGGACCTTTACAACGACCGACTGACCTCAAGTATCAACTTCCTGTGTTATCGACCACTAAACGCAAGTAACATCCTGTGTTGGTAACCTCTTGTACCGACCTCTACTATTAGCGACCTCCTCTGTTAGGAACCGCGTCTGTTAGCGACCTCCTCTGTTAAACACTGTTAAGGACCACCTGTTAGGGACCATCTGTGCTAGGAACCACATCTGTTATCGACCTCTGTTATCGACCATTTCTGTTATCGACCACCTCTGTTAGGGACCACCACTCAGGATGTATCACAGTCACCAGGATGTATGGGTTGCCTTCACATTAAAGCATAGTCCTGTTTATATCATGTGATTCAAGGTTTTCCCAAGATGTCCCGGATGGCTGACCGGAAGTGACGCATCCCCAGCGTTTCCTGCCTTGAGTAACGTCTTTGTTTATGGGTATATATGTATACTGTATATTACCTCATGACTGTGTGGTGTACGTAACTGTTAGCTGCCATGTGTGTACACCGTGTGAGGCTGGCAGTGGTGTGTGAGTGATGGGGGAAGCTGCCGTGACGATGACTGCAGCCACACTCATGTTATTCATCACCACCACCACACTCATTTTACTCACCACCACCACCACATTCATGTTCACTACTACCACCACCACCACACTCCCATTACTCACCACCACCACCACATTCATGTTACTCACTACTACCACCACCACCACCACATTCATGTTATTCACTACTACCACCACATTCATGTTATTCACTACCACCACCACACCATGTTACTCACCACCACCACCACCACATTCATAGTACCACCACCACCACTACCACCACCACACTCATTTTACTCACCACCACCACCACATTCATGTTATTCACTACTACCACCATACTCATAGCATCTACCACCACACTCATGTTACTCACCACACTCATGTTACTCACCACCACCACCACACTCATGTTAATCACCACCACCACCACATGTTACTCTGCCACCACCACCATACTCACTGTTACCACCACCACCACCACATTCATGTTATTCACTTCTACCACCATACTCATGTTACTCACCACCACACCTATGTTACTCACCACCACACTATGTTACTCACCACCACCACCACCTCATGTTAATCACCACCACCACCACCACATGTTACTGCCCACCACCACACTCATATGTTACTCACCACCACCACATGTTACTCGCCACCACCACCACCATGTTACTCGCCACCACCACCATACTCATGTTCTCGCCACCACACTTACACCATGTTACTCTGCCACCACCACCATACCATGTTACTCTGTAACACTTCACTAAATATACGAAATATGTTATTAATATATAGTAACTGTAGTGATGATATTGCTACATAGTTTCTGTATATGTGGTCATCCTATTGTTAAATGTTCTGTAATTTAACCTTTCTACATACTGAATACATATTAGTGATTTATGAGACAGTCTATATTGTAGTACCCATTATGGTACTGTACTACACATTACGGTACTGTACTACACATTATGGTACTGTATTACACATTATGTATTGTACTGACACATTACGTAATTGCACTGCTACATTATGACGTACTGTTATTTACGTACTATCACATTGCAATTGTATACATTACGGTACTGTACTACACATTATGGAACTGTACTACACATTACGGTACTGTACTTAACATTACGGTACTGTACTACACATTATGGTACTGTACTACACATTACGGTACACTACCATTACACGGTACTGTACTACACATTACGGTACTGTGCATCATTCTACATAATTTCAGCACCACGGGTCGAGCTACACGTTGATCTTCCTACATGATTGATTCTTGCATAGATTATTGTATTATTGATCTTATTGATGTGAACTTTAGTGAAATGTGAAGAACTTGTTGCATTATATATATGTGTGTTGTGTTATTACTAGTGAGGGAAGACGTGGGTGGTGTGTCCGCTGAGTCATGGCCCTTATTGATCATGGCCCTCATTGATAATGGCCCTTATTGTTTGTGGGTCTTATTAATGGCCCTTATTTTTCATGGCCTTTATTATTCATGGCCTTTATTATTCATGGCACTTAATGTTCATGGCCTTCTGATCATGATCTCTCATTATCCATGGTCCTTATTATTCATGGCCTTATTGATCGTGGTCCTTATTGATCATGGTCCTGACACGGCGGCCCCTCACTGATCATGGTCCTTATTGATCATGGCCCTCACTGATCATGGCCCCACGGTTCATGTGTTATTCATGAGAGTGGTCAACACACCCCACCGTGCTCCTCACTCCTCTCTCTTCTCTTCTTCAATGTTTATTTATCATGTTCATGTTATGTTTATGTTGAGTCTTAGGTATACAGTACAATGTTTAGGTGTTTTAGGCAACATTTTTCAAGAGTAAATTTAAAAGTAGAGTAAAAAAAAATGAAAGTTTATTTGAAGTGGAATTAAAGTAAAGTAATTTGTCTGAATTTTATATATATGTTTTTAAAATCAGTTTCTTTTATTGAATTTCTAAAGAAAGTAATTTTTTTCTTTGGTAGATTTGTTAAAATAATAAATTAAAACTTGCAAAGATATTAAATTAAAGTCAGTTTCTTTTATTGTATTTGTGGAGGTAAATATATTTTTCCAGTTAAAGTTTAGATTTAGGCTGTTAGTGACAGTGTGGGGACTGGTGAGAGTTGCCATGTCTCGGGGGGTATACAGTATATATGAACTTTGCCATGTCCAGAGTATGAAGTTTGCCATGTTGTTTTTGCCAGCTATCGGGGGGAGAGGCGCAGAAGGGCACACTCACCTGGCCTTCAGTGAGACGGCCACACTCACCTGGCCTTCAGTGAGACGGCCACACTCACCTGGCCTAAGTGAGACGGCCACACTCACCTGTCCTTCAGTGAGATGGCCACACTCGCCTGGCCTTCAGTACTAAATAAAATAAGCTGGACTGAGTCATAGGTCACTCACAGGGGGTCCAGGGATGGTATTTCTTTCTCTGTAGTGAAGGTGAGGGAATGAACCTAACTACTGTACTTCAACTAAAACACAACAATGACAACAGGAACTCTGCTTAAACTGGATACCTTCACACTACATAATTCAAAGTTACGGTCGAGGATTTTTTTTATTTATTTATTTTTTGGTGAATTTCCGTACCGTAATTTTGTCTCGTAAGTGTTGGTAATGAAGGTGTCTAGTTAAGGTAGAATTTGTGTGTTATTGTGTGTTTTAATTTAAGTCAGCCAGTAGGTGTGTTTCTCTTTGTCTCGTGTTAGCAGAGGAAAATATTCATCATAGGAGCCTTTGTGAGTGTGGATCCTGGACTGTTTCTTTTTCTTCATGATATTTATATTTTGTTGGGAAGTTTATATACGTATTCACATTGTTATTACTCTGTTATTAATTACACCTGGCAAACTTCATACCTGGTTATTATTGTGTCTTCACAGATTCACTTAATTGGTAGTTTTTTTCAGTGGGATTTTAATATAGATATAAAGAAACAAGTGGCTGGGATGATGCCCACTTGAAACCTCCCAAAGCCTCTCGTACCCAACCATGACGGCAACCAGGACGTGTAGAGGACGGATGTGGGCGGAGCCAGAGGCCGTTGTGGGTGGGGCGTAGAGGTGGTGGGAGGAGCTACACCAATGGGTGGAGCCAGGGGGCGGGTGTAGTGGAGGAGGGGGTGGGGGGCGGAGCCAGGCATCCAGTTAATTAGTACTCACATTAACGCCGGCTCAAACATCATCAGATTTTTGGGTGAGAAAGTGAATCTGTGATGAGGTTATTATTCTTATGTAAATACGGGTAACCTTTTCTCTGGGACTTTTACCTGATAATGTAAGCTAATAAGAGGTGGTTCAAAACACACACCTCAGTAGATTGTTGTGAAGAAGTTGTTGAGGAAAACTGTTTGTATTTAACCATAAAGACAATAGTAATACATTAAAAACGTAAAATTTGAATAAAAGATGTAGTATATACACGTTGCTGTAACACGTAGCATTATCCTGAACGAGAGTCAACTCCTGTTCTGACTCTGAGGTGATTCAAGAAAAAACTGAGAGAAATGTTAATATGTTTTAGTCAGAATCACCGTAATTGTAGTAATATAAATTAATAATAAACAAGGAGACAATAATTGTAATAGAAGTATATAAGAACACAATAATACCAATAAGAAAGATTATTATCATTTGTTAAAAGTCCTCGAGGGGAGTGTTAGCCGTGCTAGCTGGGCATGACACCTACCTGACGGGTGGGTGAATGGATCATACCCCAGCAGGTTATCACAACATTGTAATTAACGTACCTGTGTGTGTGTCACCTCTCAGACGGCAAGTACCTCGTCCTGCCTTCTGGCGAATTGCACATCCGCTCCGTGAGTTCCGAGGACGGCTTCAAGAGCTACAAGTGTCGCACCGTGCACCGCCTCACCCAGGAGACCCGCCTCTCTGCTACTGCTGGACGTCTTGTCATCTCCGGTACGTCCCTGAAGGGTGTTTAGGGCTGGGTTAGGACCTACGGGGTTGTATAGGGCTAGGGGGTACGGATGTCTACTGGGTTAGGAGTTAGAGTTGGTGCAGGGCTGTGTTAGGACCTAAGGGGCTGTATAGGGTTAGGAGGTAAGGATGTCTATTGGTTAGGACCTAGGGGCTGTGTTGGGACCTAGGGGCTGTGCTACTTGGGGGAGGACTACTAGGGGGATGGGTCTACTGGGTTGGTTCTGGTTTGGGGTTGGGATTTTGGGTCGGTATACAGTGCTGGACCTGAGAGAGAGAGAGAGAGAGGGAAGAATTAGATGATGGATAGTCGATAGAGAAAAAGGTGTAGATAGTTGAGGACTTGAGGAGACGAATGAATGGTCATGAACGAGGGATGGATAGTGAGGCTGCGTTGGGTGAGAGACTGAGGAGCTTGATGTAGTGTGTAGGGGAGGGAGGGAGGGAGGGAGGGAGGATAAATAAATGAAAGAGGAATAAATTAGGTAACAGAGGAGTGGGAGGAAGGGAGGGAGGATATATTGTTAGTGTAGCAATAATTTAATAATTTTCTTACATATAAACAAATTTGTTCATATATACTTGATTCTGTTAAAGCCTTTGATTGTTAAGTAACGTAATTTGACAGTATTTACAAATTTAAAGTTTGCCATATTGAAGTTGATTTATTAAAGTAACTTGAAATGTGATAAATATTGCCATATATTGTATGTATATGTGTGTGTATATGACATTAACCAGTGACAACCTTGGAAAGACATTATCACAACACCTTGACGCCGTGAGTTAAATAAGCAGAATCAGCTGCAGGTAAACACTAAGGTATGGTCAGGGTGGTGTGAGGTGTGTCTGGGGTTGCCGCTGGTCGTCAACAAGGAGCCTGAATGTTGGGATAGGGTACCCCTGCCGTCTCGCTAAATTACAAAATTTAACTCGCTAAAAATATTAATTGGCTATTCATAATTGGCTGTTTAATCTGCCACTTGTCATCTTGATTAAAATCTTTACCGTAAATTAAATATATCGAGTAAAAAATCAGATTGGTCAATAGCCTCTGCCTGTGAGAGATAGTAAACACAACGTCGCGCCCACATACACTTTTGTGAATGAAATAGTAGTGGTTTGTAGGTCACACGTCACGTAGGGCACTTGTAGGTGTTGAGGGAGGGAGGGTGTTGAAGCCACATTACTACCACCTTACTGACTAATTCTCTGAGTCAATCATTAAGTAGATGTGACGGTCAGTCTCCTCGCCGGACACCTGATGCCAGCAAAGGTAAGTGAGGCTTGTGGTTTGTTACTCTGGCGCGTCCCTGTTATTATCTCCCTCCCCCTAGTCTCTTGTTTTCCTCTTCCTCTTTACTCTTTTTTTCCCTCTTCTTCCCCCCATCTTTTTTCCTACCTTCCCTTCCTCCTCTGTCCCTTTCCCCTCTCCTTGCCTCCCTCCCTCCCCAACTTCACCATCCACATCTTCTTCTTCCCCTCCTTGTTCCTCCCCTCCTTTCCTTCCTCCTCCAGTTCCCACAGGAGGTAGAGGTGACTTAAGTAACAGTAGTGTCTCACATACTTTACTTAGTCTCAACTGTCTGTGTGTGTGTGTGTGTGTGTGTGTGTGTGTGTGTGTGTCAGCATCAAGACCAACCCCCATTCACTGTTGTAACTTGTGGCTCCCTCTTGTGACATCCTGACATTGCTGACACGATCCACCTGACGTGTTAGCTGACGTGACAGGTACACTCTCTCTCTCTCTCTCTCTCTCTCAGCCAATCACACGCAGCCTTTCTCCCTGAGCTGGAATTGGTTTCCTTCTTGATTAAATGATTCGTTGACATTGATTCTAGATAATCTTTGTAATGGAGCCCAGTGATTCGTCTGATTGGATGATGATTGAGTGAAATTACGCGGGATACTCGTCAAGGGATTAGGCGTAAGAGATTGGATGAAAGATTGGGTGTGGTACCTTGATTCTTAGTTCCTCTTTCGCTTGTTAGAATCACTTGCTGATGTTCACGTATTACATAAGACGTTGAATCTTTATTGGTGATTCTTAAGCCTAATGTATATTGGTGATTCTTAACCTATATTGGTGATTCTTAAGCCTATATTGGTGATTCTTAACCTATATTGGTAATTCTTAAGCCTATATTGGTGATTCTTAGCCTATATTGGTGATTCTTAACTTATAGTGGCGATTCTTAACCTATAGTGGTGATTCTTAGCCTATATTGGTGATTCTTAACCTATAGTGGTGATTCTTAGCCTATATTGGTGATTCTTAACTTATAGTGGTGATTCTTAACCTATAGTGGTGATTCTTAGCCTATATTGGTGATTCTTAACCTATATTAGTGATTCTTAACCTATATTGGTGATTCTTAAGCCTATATTGGTGATTCTTAACCTATAGTGGTGATTCTTAGCCTATATTGGTGACTCTTAACTTATATTGATGATTCTTAACCTATAGTGGTGATTCTTAAGCCTATAGTGGTGATTCTTAAACCTATAGTGGTGATTCTTAACTTATATTGATGATTCTTAACCTATAGTGGTGATTCTTAAACTTATATTGATGATTCTTAATCTGTTGCGGTGATTTTCAACCTCTAATGGTGATTCTTAAGCCTATATTGGTGAATCTTAACCTATATTAGTGATTCCTAACTTTTTTCGGTAATTTTCAACCTTTGCTTACTATTCTTGATTCCTAACTAGTATTTTAACCCTCCTGATGATGATTCTTAGACCCTAATCCTTACTGGTGATTCTAAACCCCCAAATGCTGATTCTTAACTCCTGACTGGTGATTCTTAACTCCTGACTGGCGATTCTTAACTCCTGACTGGCGATTCTTAACCCTTAACTGGAAATCCTTAACCCTTGACTGATGATTCTTAACCCCTTACTGCCATATTTGAACCCTATTTTTTTTTTTACACTTTTTAAACTTGTCTACAAATGATTCTTAACCCCCGCCCACCCTTTAGTGATTCTTACACCCCTTTTAGTGATTCTCATACCTCCCTTTTAGAGAATCTCAACTCCCACCCTTTCAATGATTCTTAACCCCCCATTTTAGTGATTTTCAGTCCACAGGAGGTAGAGAGCATGACGCGCCAGGGTAATATCACTGTTTTAGTCTTTTAGAGTAGTCCAAAAATTCTTCGCTTTCGTGATGATGGAGGGTGGTGAGGTGTACTCATGATAGTACTGTACTCTGTTATTGTACTCTAAGGTTATTGTACTCTACTCTCTTATTGTATTGAGATTATGCATATGTTACTGTATTAGTAATGAGGGATGGGAGGTAGAAGAGTAAATTACATAATATTTGTACTATGTGTTACTGTAATGTAATTAATGGGAGGAGTGGTACAGGAGTAACGTACATAATATTTGTACTGTGTTTATGTTACTGTAATGTAATTGTGGGAGGGAGGGAAGTAACACTATATATGTACTATGCTAATGTACTACTTGTAATTTCAAACCATTTCTGTAATGTTCATGGAGGTAAAGGCGGGGGGGTTACCTGTAATATGGGTACAATACATTATGTACTGTTTTGTGTTACTGCTGTATGTTACTGTAATAGATATGGGACGTGTTGAATACATGGGTACAGTACCATCTCACATACTGTACTGACAATATGATTACAAAGAATTGGTCGTCACAATGCATACTGTAATTCTGTTCATTAAGGATCAGAATGGTACATGGAATTATGGTTACAGTATTTTTGTAAGGTACTCTTTGATACGAAGCTGTAATTAGCATACATTGCAGTGACGGTGTAATGTAATGTGTTAGATGTGGAAATAGAGTGTGTGTGTGTGTGTGTGTGTGTGTGTGTGTGTGTGTGTGTGTGTGTGTGTGTTCCTTGGTTGTCTGTGTTGTCTGCTGTAGGGTGATCTGGGTGTCTGTTGCGGTTGTCTGTTGCGGTTGTCTAAAGCGGGTGTTTGTAACGTTAGTCTTGCAGCTATCAGTTTCGGGTGTCTGTTGCGGTTGTCTTAAGGGTGTCTTGCAGGTATCTTATGGGTGTCTTGCGGTTGTCTTATGGGTGTCTTACGGGTGTCTTGCGGTTGTCTGTTGGTAGGTCACGTTTTGCACCAAGGTTTTACAAAGGACTCGTGACACAGAGCCGTTATCATTATCTTCCATTTAGTCTTGTTATCTACGGCCTGCTGTGTAAACCTGTTGTGAAAATGATGTTAGCTAATGAATGAAGCTTTGAAGTATTATCTAATGAATGAAGCTTGGAGGGATGATGTTAGCTAATGAGTGAAGCTTTGAAATATTATCTAATGAATGAAGCTTGGAGGAATGATGTTAGCTAATGAGTGAAGCTTGGAGGAATGATGTTAGCTAATGAATGAAGCTTTGAAGTATTATCTAATGAATGAAGCCTGGAGGAATGATGTTAGCTAATGAGTGAAGCTTTGAAATATTATCTAATGAATGAAGCTTGGAGGAATGATGTTAGCTAATGAGTGAAGCTTGGAGGAATGATGTTAGCTAATGAGTGAAGCTTTGAAGTATTATCTAATGAATGAAGCCTGGAGGAATGATGTTAGCTAATGAGTGAAGCTTTGAAATATTATCTAATGAATGAAGCTTGGAGGAATGATGTTAGCTAATGAGTGAAGCTTGGAGGAATGATGTTAGCTAATGAGTGAAGCTTTGAAATATTATCTAATGAATGAAGCTTGGAGGAATGATGTTAGCTAATGAGTGAAGCTTTGAAATATTATCTAATGAATGAAGCTTGGAGGAATGATGTTAGCTAATGAGTGGAGCTTTTGAAGTATTATCTAATGAATGAAGCTTGGAGGAATGATGTTAGCTAATGAGTGAAGCTTTGAAATATTATCTAATGAATGAAGCTTGGAGGAATGATGTTAGCTAATGAGTGAAGCTTTGAAGTATTATCTAATGAATGAAGCTTGGAGGAATGATGTTAGCTAATGAGTGAAGCTTTG